ACTAAAATCCAGTGTGAGGCCTGCATGCAATTGGTGCTCATTCTGCTGCGACTGTTTCTTGAAAAAGTCAAAGAGGAATGTCCTGTGCAACCCTGGGAAATGTTGCTGTGTCTGGGACCCTGAATGAATTGTGCACTAGGCTTCAGTGTGTGTGAAAATAGGGAAATAAATCTAGCAAATAAATTGCATTTGCCACTTGCCTATTTTCATGTATAGTAAGCATCTTCTGTTTATCCACAATGCAGCAAAAATCTACTCAGGCATAGAGAATTATTGTATTTGTGAACCCTCTAGAGTTAAGACTAAAATGTATGAGTCCAAATTCAGTAGGTCCATTACAGATTAAGGTATTTAGTGCTGGTGTCTTTTTTTTTTAAACAAAGTAATTTCTTGTTTTTCAGTGTATCATAGACTTCCTCAAGGGATAAGAATTCTGCAGCAAAACCAAATGTATTCTTTGGAATCTGTCAGCACTTCCATTTCTGTAAAGTAATCCATTGGGCACCTTGCAGGTAAAGTCTGCATGAAATTGAAATCAAGATTATTATTCTGAGCCCGATGTCATTATGCCCTCTCAAGCCCCAGGCCAAGGCATTTTATGAGGAGGAATAGTAATGAAATCATGCTTCATTGTTTTTGTGAGGGACTTCTAAACTGCCTTGGTTTAGGATCTGAGGCTGAATTCATATCATACACACACACAATCAGTGCACTGCTCTAGGGAGGTAACAGTAGGTTCCTAATCTTGTAATCTCAGTGTCCATATAATTGGTCCAGACTCACCAGTATACCCTGGCTCAAATCAAGCATCAACTCGTTTTGCATCAACTCGTTTTAGCTCCTTGAATATTCTCCCTGTGTAAGAGACTCCGGGAGTGGTGTAGAGAGCCTTCCCTTACCTACTCCATGCTTGAATGAATGAAAGGAAATATGATTGGGGTATCCAGCTATTCCTACGTGGGCAGCTAACAAGATAAAACAGCCCTCAGACTCCTCTAATGTTCTCTGGGCAGTGATCCAGCTCCTGATCTGCCCTGCATCAGGGAAACAACACAGTGCCCAAACCTTTGTCACCCCCCCCCCAAATTCTGTCCCCCGCAGTTTGGCAGGACTGGGTTTGTCCCATTGCCTTCAGATGCAAGGAGCTACTGGAGCTCAGCAAAATGTTTATAGTAGCTTGGCAATCCTGAAAATCTCCGAAAAGTAACTCTGAGACTAAGGCTAGTTCTGGGCTTCAATAGGCATGGGGCAGGCTCCTGTCGCTAACTACAGGGGGCAGGTAGGCTGTCGTCTTTTGCACGAAGCTCATCTCTCTCAAGTAGGAGCCTCAATCAAAGCAACTAGGCAGGGGAAATACCCGTGGGTTGCTTATATACAACTGCCTATATTTATACGTTTCCACTAAAACCAGCAATTTGCCCCCGGCTGACAGAATTCTTCCCTAAACAGATGCGTTTATGTACATGAATTACAACTTCACCGCGCTGAGGTTAGACTGCTCTGTATTTACAAATACTGTAAACGTTTCTCCTGGTCTCTCTGAAATTGGAATTAGCCCACCGCGTATAAATAGATGGCTGGCTTTCCTAGACAGCTAACATGCTCCCACGGTCTCAGTAGGCTTTAGGGTCTGCACTCGCTGAAGTCAATGGTCAAATTCCTCCGGATTTTAGTGGATGCAGGATCAGACTCACTGTCGACGATAAAATGACACTGTCCATAGTCGAAAATGGGTAGGCTCGCATAGCGGAGTGTGTTTTCAAGGGGGCTGTAAATGTCCCTGGTTACCCTAATGGAAGTTGCCCCAAGGTGACAATACCCCACTCGGTCAATACAGCTGGATCCGGATCCCGTAATCCTACAGCAGAAGAAAATGAGGTTTGAGTGACAGAATTTGTTTCCCAGCTCTGAGGTCACAGTGTCTTCAGTCTCTCTCAGGGGGAGTTCTTTGGCTCTGCCAACACGTATTGTCTAGCGGCTGCTCGCACGGAACTTGTTTGTGGGACTCATGTCAATTTCACTTTGCTCCTGACTGCAGATGGAAAGAATGCATTCAATTATAAACCAATTATAAGGTGTTTTACTTTATTTACTATCTTTGATTTCAGCACATCATGTTTCTTATTAAAAATCAGGCATTTAGATAGAAAGGAGACACAGCCTTACTCCATCTCCTGCCTATTATTTTCTGTGTTTTATGTGGTTTCTTTGTTCGTCCTAATGAAAACGCAGTTACTTTAACCAGCGTGTTTCAACTAAGAGCAGATTTTACAGCTTACTATACCTCTATTTATCCGTTTGCTGCCAGAAATTTAGCAACGGGAATTTGTCGGGCTACAAGTTTCTCTCTCCACTTAATTCAGAAAATTAATAATTTACTTACCGTGTTCACCAGTGTTTTATAAAGAAGTATCTAAGATTAAACGAACTGCAAACAAATAACTACACTTAGTGATACAGACAATTGTTACTGTTTTGAAACGCTATGAAACAGTATTTTGAAACATTGTTTTTCATTCTTTTCAGCTGTGAAATATACTTAGCGATTAGACCTGAAATGTTCTTTTTGATGGGCAGTTATAAATACAGGTAAAATACAGGGATTATTTTCCTCAATTTTTATGGTCAGTCGTGGAAATAGCAGTTATTCTCATATGAACCATTCGCAGCTGCTGCATTACATAAAATGTTATTTACAACACTGAAGTTCGACATTGGTCAAATGCTACAGTTACAGTTAAATCCCATTCTAGGCCTGTTTTAAAGTTGGATTCTCTTTTAAGACATATGTCTGGCTAGAGAAAGCCTTGCACATAAATCTTGCATATTTTAACCCCTCTTTTATGGAAATATACAATCCAATATAATCTTAAAGTCTTAGATTTAGTTGTAGTCCTGTTTGTGTGCTTTAAAACGCAAAATATTTTCCAGCATGATATCTATCAAGTGAGTCCAAGTAATATATCCAACTTTTTCTTTTATGAAACTTATTTTTTAACATGTACAAGGGTGAGGGTGGTGCCTTCAAACTCTTTTTAACAGATTATGTAATACGATAGTTATTTCAAACTCAAGGACCGTCAAAAACACACTCTAAAGAGTAAAAATGCACCAAGCTGTAATAAGTGAGTAGCATTAACCAAACCCATCTTGATTCCTATCAAATATTTAATAAAAAGTACAAACTTAACCTGAACTTTTGCCCAAACACTCCCCTTTCACTAATTAGAGCCATTGCACTGAGCCAACTTTATGTAATTGACAAGCAATCAAGTGATTTAGAAGTTTGAACTTTAGTAGCTAAAGTCTTCAATGTCAGATGTAGTTTTCTAGTTGTTTCGAGCTTCTTATATTGCATTATAAAACTCTGTATAACCTCGAAGTCTTTTCTCCAGTTAGCAGTAAAGATGTACTTAGAAAAGGACAAATTAGTACATGGTTTTCAAAGCGATAATGATCATTCTCTTTTAATAAATCTCCCGCAAGCACATCAGACTTGTTGCAGCACCAGGCATACCTAGGAGGAGAAACGTTTGTTAGCGTCAGTTTTTGACAACACTAGCCGGAATGGTAAACTAATATCCTAAAAAGTGTTCCTATCTCCATTTTAATGGTGAGGCAAGTGACAAAATCAATCTTTCTGAGACCAAATTTAAAAAGCGTGGATAAGATCTCGGGCCGAACTTTGGAAGTCTCCATAGTTGGGGAGAACAGAATTGTTCCCTAGATTTCTACCATACTCCCTTTAGATCGTTGAAGAGGTTAGCATTCAGGAAACTAGTAATTAAAGAGCTCCTCAGCGGGGATCCGGATTAATTTTGGACGCTCGATTAAATCTGAAATTCTTCATATAAATTATTGTCAGCTCCGTGGGCCGACACAAAGATGATCTTTTGTGTTGGAAAAAATAAAAGAGTTTGTTTATTTACAAACGGCCCTGGGGATTGGACGCTCAACACGCGAACCTGCTGATAGTACCAGTGTGAAAACAGGGGACGGAGTGTATGTCCTGTGTAGACTGCGGGCTCTGCTCATAACAATGTAGGCTCACCTTTTGCCTCGGTCAGCCAAGCTCTATTAAGCAGTCACTTAAAACAAATTTTAACCGACACCAAAATGACAAGCTCAGCTTTGAAAATCTTTGTATAGTTAAGCCTTCGTTGGGTCTCCACTCCTCCGCAGTGTAGGCAGACCAGACGCACTTGTAGCCTGCGCTGAAATCCCAGCTGGGTCCGATTCTTTCAGTGCTACTATTTTAATGGCCGGTTCATTGTAAGGCAGTGCGCACAGTGGGAGTAGTATAGGTTACTACGGCAAGTAAAAAGAAGAAAGCCACATGGTGCTAATGCATCAAGTATTTTCACAGCGTAAAATACTAGTTGGTCCCACTTTGACACACCGGTTATCGTCCTAAAAATAGGCCTTTGTCAAGCTAGGCATAAAGATATACTTGATTTAAGTAACACAGATCCTTCCCCAGAAGTCTCCTGACGACCGTCAGATCCATTGCAGGAGGTTGTGCTTTTTCCTTGTTGCAGGAGAATTCTACACCGCTGTCCCTCTTTGCCTAGCGCCTCCAGCCCTGGCAAACAGGTTGGCCAGCTAGACTAGCAACAGAGCTTTGCCTCTGGGCTCCTTAAAGTCCGCCGGCGCCTGGAAAGACATTTTTAAGCGTAAGGAACATCACTGTGATGGAGTAGGGTGGTTTAATAAAGCAAACATGTAATGGCTAAAGCCACAAAGCCGGATCCCAGCTGGTATAAAGTGGTTGAGGATCTGTCCCAATTCCGATATACTTACAAGTCCTTTCTATGTTTGACAAGCCAATGTCATGTCCAGTTCCCTGAACAAAGGCCAAAACTGAATCAAAATCTCTCCCCCCGTAAAGACTGGATTAGAAATAGTGTCCCCAATAGCTGCGTTAAGGCGATATTTTCTCTCCTTTCAGGGGCCTTACTCTCCATTGTGTCTTTTCGAGAAAAAAATCGGTGTAATCTGCAGATATTTGACGTTTCGATTCCGAACGAGCCTCCTACCAGCAGACCTGGGAATCTTTTCCAGCTATTTACTAGCACGCACGTTTGTTTGATACTTGATAGGACCGCGCGCTCTGTTGCTCTCCAATCACCATCCAATCCATCCTATCTGATCGAAAGTCTCTCTCGCCTCCACTGGGTTCAAAACAAACGTTAACTTCGATGACAGACACCAAACTATTCTAAGATCAGTATCGGGCAATAGTACACTTTACTCGCCTTTGCATTAAAGCACAAGAGAACAACTGTGCAATTACATGGCTTCAGGTCTGTGTTAAATTCCCAATGAGAATTATTTGTAGTCATTATTTTAGTTTTAGAAGGCAGCCATTTGTTTAAACCAAATTACTGTTGTACTGTTAAAGACCGAGGAATAATAAAAATTATATCATACATATAAGCTTGATGTAACAGAGATATTGGACATGCTATCGGTGCCTCTTTTGCGTATTGCCAGCATAGTATTGGGGGGCCTGGTGCTTCTCAGACTAAAACAAAATATACAATGTGTGCAGAACAACGACAGAGTGAAAAACCGAAGGCATTTTCTAATTGGAAAGTCCTGAAAGAACAAATAAATATCATTGTCATCTGTATGGAAAATCCATTTTAATTTAAAATAGTAGATGACAAAATGTTGTAATTCCATAACACGTAGAAAACAAAGACAATAATTTTGCATCAAGTTAGATTTAAAACAACCCACACACGAGTGGGGAGCTTTTTGTTATCTGGATTGCATAGATCAGCAACATATTACACTGAACTGTCACGTCTGGGCGCTCTCACCTCTATTAAAAAGATTCACTTTATTCTAAAAGCTGTATGGAACCATTACATATATTACAAAAATAGTCCTATCTCGTGTATTAGTGCATTTTGTTAAGGTCAATCGTCTAGCTCTGTATGCATAGTATCAATGTTGTAAACAAACTACCGAATGGGATTCTGGGTGTGAGGACACCTCAACCAGAGAGAGTCTATGGACATTTAGCGGGTGGGAGTTTTAAGGCACAGTGTCCAAGACCTAACAAGAAGCTATTTTGGGTACCATGGTATATACAAAGTTCTAGGCCCAGAACGTGGCTTCTGTGAGTTTCCCCCAAGTTATTTCAGAGTCCGCTCAAACTTCTGTCCCGTCCCTGCTGTAAATCAGGTGGTTGACGCTGAAGTTGTTCAGGAAGTGCTGGCCGCTTGCACAGGAGTTCATTCGCGGATGGGCCGTGCCGCTGTTGGACGTGGGGCCCGCGCTCACAGCAGGCCCAGCTTGCCTTCCGTGTGACGCTTCGCCCGCCAGCCCTGCCGAGAGCGGCCTGGCGAAGCCATTGTTCCCACTGGCGAAGGCCTGCATGCTGGAGGCGAAGCTGGAGAAACAGGGGCTCCGTGCGGGCGCGGGGGAGGACTGGGGCCCGCTCCCGCAGCCGCCGGCAGAGTTCGGCGGGGCAGGGCAGCTTAGGACCAGCGGGCTGGCTGGGTCTGGCGACTTCAAGGCACCGCCGCTCTGGTCCTCCGCTTTGCCGGGCACTCCCGGGGCGCTGGTCCCAGGGGCCTCCGCCCTCCTTTTCCTCTTCCTGCGAAAGTTGCCGTTATCGAACATCTTCTCGCAGTTGGGGTCCAGGGTCCAGTAATTGCCTTTTCCTGCGGATAAATGAGCAGCACATGAGACGAGGCCCAACACAGCCGGGCCAGGCTTTGCCCCACCAGTAAGCGCCTGGGTGATGGGCCACCGGGAGGGGGAGGGGTGGGAGAACGCAACATTCCTGCACCCTTGGTCCGGGCTCCCTGTTTGTGCCTTCCCAGATGCAGCCGCTAGAGCCCTGCCCCGCGGCGACTGGTTAGCAGCCCTGGAACGAGAGACAAGCCTGGCGTTGCTCTTACACCCGAACGTGCCAGGGCCAGCGGTCAGCATCCCGGCTCTGTACTCGCGTTTATTGCAGCCAGTGCAGAGCAATACTCGCCTTTTGCCCTGGGCCCGGGAGCTGCAGCCAGCGCGCTGTGACTTTCCTCAGGACACGCATGCAACGCGCTGCCAACCCTCCTTAGGGGGAGAAAGGGAGTTTCCTTACCTGGATCGTCTTCATCCCGCGGCACTTTCTTAAAGCAGTCGTTGAGGGACAGGTTGTGCCGGATGGAGTTCTGCCAGCCTGCCTTGCTCTTCTTGTAGAAAGGGAAGTTTTCGGCCACGTACTGGTAAATTTGACTCAAGGTCAGCTTCTTCTCCGGCGCGTTTTGGATGGCCATCGCTATCAGGGCCGAGTACGAGTAGGGGGGCCTCACCAATTTAAAAAACTCCTGCTGGCTGGAGAGAGACAACCAGCTGAGATCGGTGCCCCCAAAGCCTGAGGCCGGGGCCAGGAACTGTCTCTGGCTGGTCCCGTAACCCGAGGGGATGAAGGAAGCCCCATTAGTCCCAGAGAGGTAAGGCGAGGAGCTGATGGCAGGTCCATTGAGCCAGAGGTAGGGGTTCGCGGCCGGGGGGCTGTATTCGCTCAGCCCATAGCCTCCGGGAGGAGCTGATGGCCTCTGTGGGTGGTGGTGGTGCAGGTTTTGCGGGTACACGCTCAGGTTGTCACAGTACACCGCCATGTCCAGCAAATCCTGTGCATTCGGATGCTGGAGAGGGGTCGACTGTGAATTTGTGGGCTGCTGCCCAAATGAGTTCATAATCCCCTGCGAGCGGTGGAGTTTGAAGGACTCCACACAGAGATCATCAGCCCAGGCTGTGTCGGACTGCTGAGCTCTCAGGCACTACGGAAAGACATCTAGATAATGGCCCGGGACGGACTCAGGCTGCAGGCAAACTCAAACCAGCGAGCAAACAGCAGAATCAGGCTGGAGCAAGGGGCAGCACCGCCCCGTCGCCACTCCACCTCCATCCAACCAACGGGCTGCCCCACCTACCCTGGGAACAGTCCCTCTGCGCCCTCTAAGCAACCCCCCATGCACCTCACCACTGCCCCCAGACCACCCTGCCCTCCTGACCGCCTTCTGCACCACTTCTCTTCTATACAGCCCCTCCCACGGTGTGCACCACCCACCCTGCTTTGCCCCACCCCCTGCACAACCTCTAGACCAACCCCCTCTACACCACTTCTATCCCGCCCGCACCCTCTCACCCCGGGGCTCTCAGTCAGCGGCCAGACCCCTGGGGGCAGGTTTCAGGAGGGCCGCCAAGCAGGGCCAGTGTGAGCCTTGAGCAGAAACTGAATCCCGCGCGGGGCTGCAGGCTGAGGCTCCCAGCCCTGCCACTTGGCGCTGAACTCCAAGCATGAGCAATTTAGCTTTCCCGGGACCCCTGTAGCATGGGGCCTGGCAAGTGCCCTGCTCGCTCCCCAGCCATGCTGGGCCGGGCTTTCATATGCAGACCCCCCGTTGTGGTAGCAGTGGTGGGCAGTGGAGTTTGTACAGCCTGTTGGGAGGGCTCAGAAAGAGAAAAGTCGAGAGCCCCTGTCCTGACCAGCTCACACCCTGCCCGGTCCAGTGCACATGCCACCCTGCCCCCGCTGCTCCCGGCAGCTCCTGCCCCCGCTGCAGGCCCAGGGTGACCCGACCCTCTGCACTGCCCCTCTAGAAAGACCCCTGAAGTGACCACCCCTCCGCACAACCCCGGACACCCCACTCCCGCGCTGCACACGTCACCTTCGTGCTCCCAGCCGCCCCCACCAGCCACCCCCAGCGCACAACCCGCCTCGCACCGCCCCAGCCCCACACAGCCCGCCCCAGCGCCCCCCGGCTCCCGCCGCCTTCGCTCGCTCCCCGCCCAGCCCGCTGCTGGCACCCAGCGCCCCGAGCGCGCCCCGAGCAAACCAGCCGCGGGCGCCCCCGAGCCGAAGGGATGCACCCACCTGCCGGACCTCAGCCTGGCACCCTGCGCAGAGAGGGCGGCGCGGGCACGGCCGGGGGGCTGCAGAGCGGAGCAAGCCGGCGGGGCCTGTCACTTTATCCCAGTCCGCGAGCCAAGGCGAAGCAGCTGGCAGCCCCACTGCTCACGTTACAATCCCCGCTCTGAGTTCCGCCTGCCCGCGAGCCGCGCTCTGCCTGCCCGCGCCCCAGCAGCACCCAGCCCGCGGGACTCCGGGCTCGCCGGCACGAAGGGGCTGGGGCCGGGGCTGTTCCGAGTGCTCGCGCCCGAAGGAGCTGCTCAAGCGCAGCCCTTGCTTCGGCCCAGCCCAACCGAACGTTTTCAACAGGGACTGGATTTAAGCCAAAATGTTCCCTGGCCCCATATTCCCCACTCGTGTTTTCTAAACAAAGCAGGACGGAGGCTGCCCTCTCCCTGTGCTTTGCAGGCCAAACAACCCTTCAAAGGAGAGAGCGACAGTGTGGGCAGGTGCAATAGCGCTCCAAGGGCAGAGTTGCAAAGTCAGGCCATGCAGCCTTTGTGTACACGGCCCTTCCATGATTGCAGTCTGACTTCACCTGCACAGGTGCATGGGCGACCAGGGGAGGGGCAGGTTCAAGCTAGAGACACGTGTGCTCCTGCTGGCCTGATCTGACTCTCCTTGTGCATCTGAATTTCCCTTTGCACCAAGACCTTGGGGCCACTCAAGCACATTAGTCCTACAGACAAGACATTCCTAGCAGTTCTGAACATGATGGGGGCATGAAGAGGCTGCACAGCTATTTGTCACAAAGGCCCACAATGGGACAGTGCCGAGACATGAGTTTCCTGCACTTCCTAGCTTACTTCGACTAGTCCAGAGCTTGTTTTAAGCCCTGTTCACAGACTGAAGAGGCCACGACAGCCCTACATCTTCTTGTTGCAACCTGCTAGGGATGACACAATGGCCTGGCAATGGAATGGCTCAGCCAATGGCCAAGTCTACACAAACCTGAAAACACTCTGCCCTTGTTTGCAGGTATGCAGGAATGGATCTCTAGATAATTCAGTCTAGATGTTCAAAAATTGCCTCCTATTATGTGGGCACAATTAAAGGAGAGACCATTTAGAAACCTGGCTCCTTGATCACATCCTCAAGCCAGGCAGTTAGGATTTTAAAGCAGAGCAAATATATGCATATTTAACCGTGGGTGCTAACCTTTACCTACTATATTGAAGGCTGAATTGGTGCTTTGGTAAAGATCAGGGCCATCCTTTGAAAATAACCAGCTTACTGTGCCTGTCTCTGGTACAAATCATTGATATTGTAACCATCAAATGTTATAACAGCAAATATTCAATCTCTGGAAAATAAATTTGCAAGAAATTATTTATATTCTCGTTCATCCCTTTTCTATAGAATTGACATTTGGAATGAAACCTACCATTACGAAATATTCAGTAATATATATGAACTCATGACCCTTTACACCACAAGCAGTGAGTGACTCTTCCCATATGCTAGTCACTGTCAAATCCAGATCCCCATTTATACATCTGGCTGGAGAAACACTGTGGGAGACATTACCTAATGATTACCAGCCAAACACCCTGTCAAGGTTCAATTTACTGTGAGCCCTCCATATCCAAATTTAACCAGACCAAGTACCATTTAGTCTGCTGGGCCCTGGAAATAAATTATGTTTCCTGTTACCAATATATATGGTATCAAACGAATAAAACAGATTTTTCTTTTTGATATAATTAGCTGTGCCTGTCAGTGAAATTAAAAGCATATCTCACAGTCTGCGTTTTGGTTATGACAAGCCTCCAAAACTACTAGTGGTATGTCACAACCAAAAAGCATGTGTACATCACACATCTTTCACTTCACTGACATACATATATCACAAAATGCACAAACTTCCTCTTTTGGTTTGGTAAAACACTTTTTATTGTGTTGTGTTTTCTCCCATCTGTTGTTCCAGATCAGTGAAAAGAAAACTCTCATGCAGTCCATAAAACTAGTCATCCTTGAGATACTTCAGAATTTGATGGCAAATGGATTTTATTTCCGTGACTATCTTGGCTGTGGAAATGTTTTAGTGTTGGCCTTAGAAAAAAAATGATACACTTCCTTCTTAAATAACATGGAACATAAAAAGACATGGTTATACATAGGCTAGATTGGGTTAGGTAGCTAAAGTACTTCAGGGGTGTCTCAAATCAATACAATGTTTTGGAGTGTTAATGTGCATAATCAGTATTTTAGATCAGAGAATATAATGTGTGGCAATGTATGCACATTCTGTCTCCCTTTGGGCTGGAGCTTGGGTATGGTATAGGATTGCCAATCCTCCTGGTTTCTCCAGGAATCTCATGGAATCAGGCTTGATTTCCTGGAGGGCTATTCCTGGAGGATTGGAGGCTGCTAAAAACCTGGCAGTGCAGCAGTGCTAAGGCAGGCTCCTTGTGGCCCTTGGGAAATTGTCTGGCATGTTCTTGTGGCCCTTGGGACCAGGACAGGGAGTCACCACATGCAACCCCTGCCCTGCATGGTGATTCTGCAACTTCTGTTGGCTGGGAACTGTGGCCAGTGAGAACTGCAGTGGTGGTTCCTGCAGGCATAGACAGTGTGCAGACTTTCCTTGCCTCTCTTCTCCCCAGGGACATGCCAGTGACTTCTGGGAATGTTGTGGGTCCAGGGGAAGCCTGACTTAGACCCACTGTGCTACTAACAGGGAGCCCTTGAAGTAAGCACTGCTTGGCTGTAACCCAGACCCCTCACTTCATTCTGCACCCCAGCCCTGTGCCCCCTTGTGGAGCCCATGCCCTGCACCCTCTCCTGCATCCCAACCTCCTCCCCCATCCTGGAGCCCCCTTTTGCACCCAGAATTCCTCCCAGAACCCACACCCTGCAACCCACACCCCTGCTGCAGCCCAGTGAATCTGAGTGAGGATGGAAGCATGTGAGTGATGGAGGGAGTGGGGCAGGGCTTCAGGGAAGGGGCAGGGCCAGGTGTTCAGGTTTGTGTGGTTAGATAGTTGGCAACCCTAATGTGGTAACAATGCAGTTATAGTCTATCAGATTGTCCTGGGACTCAAGACAATGCAGTTCAGTGGACAGAGTCAACATGATAACCCTTGAGTGCAGGACTGCATGGCTTACTAGTCAAATCCATGGGTCACCACAAAAAGCCCACCCGATTCCACCAGGTGCCAGCCCAGGGCCCTAACAGTGGCAGCGTAGTCTGCACATGAGTCAATGGGGAACAACACACTGACCTTACATGGGTGGGAAACTTCACTCACTACCCCTTCTTGGGCTACTTTCTATTATGCTCCCTGGATCTGTAATCAGGGCTGTCCCTAAAGAGGTGCATGACCTGGGACATAGACATCGAGTTTCTAATCTGCTGAGGGGTGTACCCCTGATTCCACCCCCACTTTACCTCTTCCCTTAAAGCCCTACCTTGACCTGCTTTTTTCCACCCCTGCTCCACCCCTGTCTGATTCTTCCCACCTCACCCCTCCTCTTCCTTGCCCAGTTCCATTCCCTCCCCAAGTGTGCTGTTCCCTCACTGCTCTTCCTTCCCCACAGACCCTCTAGACACCGCAAAGCATCTGATCCATAGCATGTAGTAGGCACTGAAGGTGTGTCTAGATTACATCCCTTTCTTGAAAAAGGGATGTAAATTAGACACTTTGAAATTGCAAATGAAGCTGGGATTGAAATTTCCCATGCTTCATTTGCATAATGTCAGCCGCAGTTTTTTTCAACACGGGGATTTTCCATAGAAAAACGGCAGTTTAGACGGGGATCTTTCAAAAATAAAACCTTTTCCCAAAAGATCCTGTATTCCTCAAAAAATGAGTTTTACAGGATCTTTTGAAAAAGGTTTCTTTTGTTGAAGGATCTCCATCTAAACTGCCGTTTTTCTATCGAAAATCCCCGTGTTGAAAAAAACTGCGGCTGACATTATGCAAATGAAGCATGGGAAATTTAAATCCCGGCTTCATTTGCAATTTCAAAGTGTGTAATTTACATCCCTTTTTCAAGAAAGGTGCTGATCAGTGAGGCCCAATGGTGGGCAGGAAGTGATGAAGGGAGAGGGAGGCTCTGGTACGGGGCCTGCCTCCTGCCTCAATTCCCCACCTGCCACCTCACAATTTTATCAAAGTGCA